ACACACACACACACACACACACACACACACACACACACACACACAGCCACAAACATAATATAAACGAATACACACTCACACAATTATAAACATAGACACACAAACTCACATTTACTCAAACCCATACACACAAACATACATAAATTAATGATAAATAAACACAAACACAAGCACAAACTTGCATATACATTAAATGACATACACAGATACCAACTCACCCCCAGGTACCAGATCTTCCTGACGTCCTCATGAGTCCAGACCTCCCTGAGCCCGATTCCCATCCCCACACCCGCACCTACAGCAATCACGATGAGGATGATCAGTAGATTATCCATCAAGACTCGAACCCACATTTTTTTACGGTGCCGGGCAGGCACACAGCACATCGCTCCTTCGGACATGATGGCTGAGTTGGTACAACTTTTAATAAAGAGAAACTCCGAAAGATATGAGCTCCGTCACTTCCAGTCACTCTTTCTCCAAAACTCTTCAGCTGCTTGATTCTAGAATTAAAAAATCCTTAAGTAAAATTTCTTATGAAAAATGATAAACTTAATCATGAATAAGTCATAAATATACACCACTTCTAGACACACGTATGTTATTGTTTAAAAAACCCCCACAACTTTAGCAAGATATGTCTGAGCTGAACGCTGTCTTTCAGTCGCTACGTTGCGTCGTAGCTGCGGTTTCAGGACACCGCGCTCTATGAAGGCAGGAGGGCAATGATTCCAAAGCTGTGCAAATGCAAGTCTTCATTCAATAACGTTCGCTGGACGCTTTGGCAGCCCACGGAGTAGTCCCGGGTGGTTGGTCACACGCAACGTTGCGTTACGATCTTTTGTCGAGGTCTGTGGAGAGGCAAATGAAGGAATGAAGGATATAAGATTACAGATTGAAAACCAAGAGAACGTTTCACTTAGCTTAAGGTATAGTTTGTCATGTCACAGGTCACCCTTTATCAGTGGCGGTGGGTTGACCAAAATTTGGGTGGGGCTTAGGCTGCTTCCAGTTCTTTACCACCAAATAGCAAGCAATAAGATAAGAACTAAATAGTGATGATTTTTCTATACTCACGGTGAGCCACGGCAGCTTGGGAACCATTCAAACGAGCAGAATTTCCTTTGTTTTCCATCTCTTCGTTCTCAGTTAAATTCTTGTTGATGGTGGGAACGAAGCTGGTTCACCTCCAAATTTCCTCTAATTAGTTTTCATGTGATGAAAGAGTTGCCGTAAAAGTAGTTCGACCTGTTTTATAACTGTTAAATCTCAGCGGCACAAACACAAATATGCACACACAACACTTCAAACATAATACTTCTATAAGCTGGATTAGGCGTGTAGTCGAGAAAGTCGAACGCACCCAACAAAGAACCAATGAGCTCATAGGTATCTGTGTCAGTGGGGGAAAGTGTGTCGTAAACTTTCACCCTATTGTCAGGGCTAGGAGAGCGTGGGCCCTGTGTACAGTGTTATTTTTTCCCAGTCTTCTACCTTTTTACAAGAATAGTTTCATTAAGGACGGACTGTGGGAAAAGGGCTCATCTTCGCTGAGCCCTGGAGGCATTTGATTGGCTGCTGGGTTACTATAGTTGTAAGCGGTGACAACAGTTATTGGATAAGCGAGCAAGCCGCCAAGCTGATCACTCTGTGTTCATTGCGTGCAGTCATAACGGTTTCAACTGCTAATTTCATTATGGAGAAACTTTCATTTACTTTGGGATAGAGTTGGGGGTGGTGGGTGGGGAGGGGGTAGGGGCTCAAGCCCGTGAGCCCTTCACTACCAACCGCCACTGCCCTTTATGGACGTTTAACATGATACTTGATATATGTTATGGCGTGTAGGGCTATCTAATAACTCTGTATTTGGGGTGTCACCGCAAAACAAACTCCTTATAACTTTTTTGACATGCAACTCACAATCAAGGTCTCCAGTCACAGAGGGGCCACATTTGGGTCTTCTAACTTAAATTTGAAAATGGGCGGGGTGTTGAAATTTACTTTATCCAACGAGAGAGAAATCGGGTAGGAGAGGGGATGAGGGAGATCCTTGTGCTGACAGTTATGCAGCTGGAGGAGTGATGCAGTAGATTTTGTTGGCTGTTTACGACAGCAACCCAAAATGGAACAGTTAAATAGTTCACACGAGCAAGTGCACATGCGCACACACGAATACACACACGAATCACGAATACACACACACACACACACACACACACACA